TCAAAGTTCTGAAGGAAAAATATTTAAGTTATTTAGAACCCAGTTTTTATGCACAGCTAAACTATCAGGCAAGATGGGATTAAACTAAAAATATTTTGACCTCTTATATGTTTTATTTAGAAAGGTATTTGGTAAGAAAAAAGCAAACAATTCAACCCAAAAATGGGCAGAAAACTAAACAAGCAATTCTCCAGTGAAGATATATGAATGACCAATAGGCACATGAAAAAATGCTCAATATCACTCGTTATCAGAGAAATGCAAATCAAAACTACAATGAGGTATCACCTCACATCAGCCAGAATGGCCATCATTCAAAAGTCCACAAATGACAAATGCTGGAGAGGCTGTGGAGAAAGGGGAACCCTCCTACGCTGCTGGTGGGAATGCAGTTTGGTGCAGCCACTGTGGAAAACAGTATGGAGATGCCTCAAAAGACTAGGAACAGACTTATCGTATGACCTAGGAATCCCACTTCTGGGCATGTACCTGGAGGAAACTCTAATTTGGGAAGATACATGCACCCCAATGTTCACAGCAGCACTGTTTACAACAGCCAAGACATGGAAACAGCCTAAATGTCCATCAACAGATAACTGGATAATGAAGCTGTGATATATTTCTATAATGGAATACTACTCAGCCATAAAAAATAATAAAATAATGCCATTTGCAGCAACATGGATGGACCTGGAGATTGTCATTGTAAGTGAAGTTAAGTCAGAGAAAAATATATAATATCACTCATATGTGGAATCTAAAAAAAAAGAAGACACTATGAACTGATCTACAGAACAGAAACAGACTCACAGACTTAGTAAACAATCTTATGGTTACTGGAGAAAGGGACTGGGAAGGGATAATTTGGGGAATTTGAGATTTACAAATGTTAGTCACTATATATAAAAATAGATTTCAAAATAAGTTTTTTCTGTACAGCACAGGGAACTATGTTCAGTATCTTATAATAACATTTAATGAAAAAATATGAAAACGAATATTGTATGACTGGGACATTGTGCTGTGCACCAGAAATTGACGCATTGTAATTGACTTGTACTTCAATTAAATGATACATACATGTAACACACACACGAGTGTGTGTGTGTGTGTGTGTGTGTGTGTGTGTGTGTAGGTATGTGTATTCTGATTCAAGAACTAATATACACAAAGAAAAATATTAGTTTTCTGACACTAGCATGCTAGGACCAGAAGAGCTGATGTCTTGTGCACACAGCCAGACCAGTTTTAAATTATCATGTTATATGGAATTAACACTTCCATTTTAATCCCTTAGCAAAACAGGGTAGCTCCTATGTGCAGACACTGCCCTAGAGCAAGGAATCAGACAGACAAGAATGCCTGCCTCTCCTGGAACTTACAGTCTAATGGGGTGGGCGACAAAGAAGTGAAGGATCGTTTTGAAGTGTATCGAAATACCGAATCACTGTGCTGTGTTAACAGGAACAACGAACCTTGTGGGAGGTCAATTATGTTTCAAAAGCAAACTCATAGAAAGAGAGATCGGAGTTCTGGTTTGGGAGGGGTGGGAGGACGAGGGGAAACAGGGCACAGGTGGTCAAAAGGAATAAGCCTCCAGTTACAGGATAAAAAACACTAAGGGAGTAATGTACAACACGATTAATGTAATGACACTGCTGTTATATACGAAAGTTCTCATGACAAAAAAAAATATATTTCTTCAAACTGGGAGATCGAAATTTGTAGACACTGACAGGTGTATACAGAATAAACAAACAAGATTATACTGTACAGCACAGGAAAATACATACAAGATCTTGTGGTAGCTCCCAGTGAAACAGAATGCGACAACGAATATACGTTATGTTCTTGTGTAACCGAAAAATCGTGCTCTACGCTGGAATTAGACACGACGTTGTAAACTATTAACTCAAAATTTTTTTAAAATTCCGTTTCTTTCAGTTTGTATCTATGGATTCTGGAATGCTCATCAAAACTACTTCACGAGATCGGAAATTGAAATCACTACACTATACACCTTAAACTTACACTGTGTTGCATGTCAATTACATCCCAATTGGGAAAAAAAAAAAGAGAGAGAGAGAGAGAAAGAAGTAAAATTCCCAGGTGGGATGGCGTGGTGGCAGTGGAGGGACAAGTAGCAGTTAAGCGTGGGTGTATGTTGAAGAACACTACGTCCACATTACTTATTACACAGGGTGATCGTGAGGATCAACTGAGAAGGAACAGTTTAAAAATAAAGACAGAGCTCACGTAGGAACCGTTACTCCGTCCTCCAATCTCTACCACTCTTTGTGACACTTTTCATTTAGAAATTCAGGATTGAGGGGGAAGAGAATGCAAATCCATTTTGATTCAATCGTAGTAGGTGAATTGCCGTGTTTTATTTCAGTGCAATTTGCTAAATCATGCAGCCCAGATATTTCAGGAATCTTTTTTCCCTCTTTATTTTTTTAATTGGGATCTAATTCATATATAATAAAACCTACCCCTTTATAGGGTATGAAATTGAATAGCTTTTAATATACTCACAAAGGTGTGTACTTTTCACAGCTCACTCCAGAACATTCTCATCGCCCTGAAAAGAAACCCTGAGCCCATGAGCAATCACTTCGCATTTTCCCATTCTCAGAAGCCTTTTCTAGTCTGGGTGCCGTGTAAGAAGCCTACAGAATGGAGCTATAAGCAAGGCTGATTTAAAAAAAAAAAAAAAAAAAACACGCGCTCTGTGAGCAACTCAAACACCATGATGGAGACAAGCGCGCACACACGACTGTGACCGTGGTCGGGGGAGAGGGATGTTACAGGCGGAAAAGCCTTGCAAACCCACATCCGTGGCATCTGGAAATCTCCCCCCAAGACCTTCCCTCGAGCACATTACGACCTGGGTGGAACCTGAGGCAGGTCTCAGCTCATTGTAAGCAGATTTCTGACCTAAGGGGCTCCCTTTAAACACAAAGCAAGGCGATGCTCCCTGCACTCAGGTAAACTCGGGACCCTCCCTTCCAGGCAGAAGCTTTTTAACAAATGGGACACAGACGCCCCAAGAGGGGCAGAGTCTGGAGTCAAGCGTTGCGTTCCTGCGGCCACCAAGCACCTGAAACAGGAACCCGGCTTCCCTTCCCACCCCCTCTCCTGTCTGGGCTGTGCCCGCCTCCCTCTTCCATGTGGCTTCCTGCTGGGTTTTCTGTTGTGAAAAGCGGGTCTGGGGCTAGTGGACCAGGTGGCCAAGCAGTGGGCTGTAGGGCGCAGGGGCTCACGGGAACGGCAGGACGGCTAAAGCTCTCAGACATGCTAGGAGTATGGTCAGCAAGAAAAATCTATTTTAATTTTTCCCTGTGTAAGAACTGAGTGTTACTCTGCTGCATCTTGGTCAGCCCTCACTTTGTCTTTATAAATACAAAATATTTACGTAACGCCTTACCAACCCACGGTTCAGGAACCAGCAGGTCAGCAAAATGAAAAATGAGCAGCTCAAATGTATGCTATAAATAGGGATTCATAATTATCTTACGTCAAGACAGTATTAATGCCCAGAATCATTGTATTTTACAAGAAAATACACACATCTGCCAGAAGCTGGCATTTCATTAGCTCTACATTTGGGAATAATTTCTACTGTAAGTACTTAATATATACGTGTGTGTATAAACACGTGTGTACGTACACAGTGTGTGCCGCTTGTGTACACAGATACACAAAAACACGTAAGCACACGTGCACGGAAACACACACACACAGCTTTTGGCCTCTGAGGAGCCAACGATCAGTAACACGTGGGTATACGGTCTCCTTAAGATTAAAGATGGCCAAGGCCTGATGCTTATTTCCCTGAAGACAGTAATTCATTCAAGACTGAAACACCGTCAGCATTTCAAACGCAGCAGAAAATCTGCTACAATCACCACGCTCTGAGCCGTGGATCCCAAAACGGAGGCACACTGGTCAACCAGACAGTTAAGGCACCTGCCTGTCATTTCTAAGAATCAGAGGACACTTACCGAATGTGTGCTGCTAGCCAATATTTTTTTTAATATTTCTCTAAGAGGGGCGCTCCCTTCGAAGTGTGTAACCACGACTTCCAGGAAGCAATTTCAAACAGCACCTTGAGTTCCACAGGAGCGCTGGCTGCTGGTTACACTTGGAGCGTTGAGGGACAAGGCTCCTACCCCACCCGCATACTCTCTCTCTCTCCCATCCTTTATTTGCTATTTCTTCCTCCATGATTTACCTGCTAGCACAGGACTCAGAACGTACAGGACTTCACTGTGCCCTTTAATATCTCCTACAAACCAAAATATGACGGATGGGAAGAAAGGAAAGAAGGCCAGGAGGAAAAATAATCCATTATTTCCTAGCATGAAAATTTGGTAATTATCTATGATAGAAAAAAAAAGAAGTTTGTCTATCTTGAAATTATTTTAATTTAGAAATAGAAAACACCTTGGAAGAAAACAAATGAAAGAAAAACACAAAATTTACGGGCAAATTTTTACTCCGTGAGCTTCTCAAATCCTCATTTGTTCACGAATCCCCAAAACATACTTTTCAAAAAAGGTCTTCAGCCACCACTGTAAAAGAAAGAAAAATGGTCAATTTTGAGTACATGTAAGATTTTAATAATAGTAGTAATTTGAAATGAAATGTGCTGTCATTTTATGGAACCAAAACTAGGTGTTTGAGAACCACACCTACGTGACCCCAAGATCATACAAAAGAAACTGAACTTTATTTAACATCTTGTAACTGAAAAGGCCCCTCTACAGGGAGGCAGTGAGGCTGCTGGAACAGGCCTGTGAAAATTGAGAATTCTCACCCGGGAAACGTGCTTATTAGCAGCCTAACGTAACGCCTTTCTTAAAAAGATGAAAAATGCGAATCACAGAACAGGTTGGCTGGTTGAGAACTTTTTCAACTTGATGTACCATCAGCCATTTGAAGAT